GTATACAAAAGTCTTGTAGAAATACCGTGAACTTTAATAATGAACGCAAAAATGTCAGTTTTTACGGCCCGCTAGGGACATGCGAAGGTCATAGAATATTTCACATTTCGTAACGACTTAAAATTGTATTTTTAATTAGAAAACAAGTAAAATTGACATTAAAAGAAATTAAAATTAAATATTTGAGATGACGAAAAATAGATCGATCTGAAGGATGGAAGTTTTTATGCGTCTGTCAGTCTTGAAAAACTCGCGGTTTTTTTTAAACAAATAGGCAAAGGTGAAAATTTTTTGCAGCCACTGTTATGTTGGGTTTAGGTGTTGAAAATTTTGTATTATTGTTGCATTCCATTGGTGTAAGCATTTTTGTTGCATTTTGGTGTTTTAAGGGTACAAAAATTTATATTAAAATCTCGGAGATTCTTAAATTATTTACGTTTTTGTTAGTTTTTTGCCTTGATCGATTTATTTTAATATGTATAAGTATTGTGTGGTTGTTTTTGTAGTCCGACTAAAAAATCATGTCTCACGATTTTTCATGTTTATATTAAATGTAAATTCAAGATTTTTTGGAGTTACCCATTTGATTTCCTTTTACATGTAATCAGATTTTTTGGTTGGACTATATTCTTTTTTAGTTCCCTTGTGATATTTAATAACATTGTGTATTACCCGCCAAACTGTATATTAATATTTTAAGGGTCTGTCTGGTCCCACCACTGTCAGATAAGAGAAAAAAAAATCCTATATTTTCATCACATATTTTACACGTTGGATTGTTAAATTTACAATTTGGTGGGACTGGCCCTGAAACATGTAAAGGATCCCTTTTATATAAATCAATATAGAATATGCACATTGTAATGTGTCGCTCTCTTAGGGTTTTTGAATAAAATATGTCATGAAATACCTGACTTTTATTTCTATAACCAATAAAATAATGTGGGCTTGGTCTTTATTACATTACTACTAATGTAATTAAATAAACTAATTTTTTAAACGCTTATTGTTCCTAAGGGTGTCGTTTTTATATATTGAATTAACTTAAAATAACCTAAAATATTATCGTAATCGATTAACCTAATTAACCTTGACCCATAGACAAAGATATGGCGTAATGTTGATCAAACTATTGGCTAATATCGCCCTTCATGTTACGAAATGATACCTTTATTAGTTTTAAAATAATATCACCCGCCATCTTGTTAATATTGTATACCTTAATTTCGTTTTGTAAATGGATTTTTTTAAATTAGATACAAAATAGTACAATTTAATTCGATGATACACCCGCCATTTTGATTACCACATTCCTCGTATACATTTCTATGATGCCAATGACATTTTCTGTTTAAATAAAAGATTAAGTTAATCAGTATTGAACAATTATGAAGAAATGATAACTGATAGGTTCTACAAATGTTGTAATATTAACTACTGTACACACCTTTATCTTTATTTAATCAATTATTGATTGATAAATCGATAAAACAAATCTATTTATTTGAATTTCGGCATCTGTGCCAAGATTTGTTTTTCAGTATAAATATTTTGGAAAACACGAAATAATACGAAATGTTTTCATCAATTCATCACTTTTTATTTACAGAGTAAAAAACATCTTTTTTTGGATGAGACCATTCAGAGAGTCATTTTTGTAGTTTTTATTTGTTAACAAAAACAACAGAAGACACCATGCTGCCAACTTTCCCGCCAAAAGTGAACTGCGGCGTCGGTATGACGCATTTTAGCTTCATTTTCTCAGAGAAATGCTTTAGAAGTTCTTCTTCCGTCCAATTACACGATGTTATGACGAATAAACCTTTAATATAAAAAGATTATGTTAATAATCACGTGGTTTTATATGTACTAATTTTATAAAAGAAAAATTGGTATTTGTATGTAACGAATAAACTCAAAAACTACTGTGTTTATTTAAAAAAATCACAATTAGAAAGCTACATTATCATTGATTATCGGCTATGTTTCGTTATTTTAAACCAATTCAGGACAAAAAATACCCCTTTTTCGTACACTTTAAAAGTTAAAACTCAAAAACTACTGTACAATTTTTAATTTTGAAAAAAAAAAGGACCAAATGGCACTTATTCCGCATCAAGCAAGAAAAGAATCACGTAAATAACACAAATGGCAGCTTAATTTATGCACAGTCGCGGAAAACCGCGATGTTCCACTTCAGGAAAAAATGCCTTGTTCATTGGAACGAAAACTCCGACTCATACAAATAACCAATTAGATACCAGTGAGTGCAAATGAAGGGATAATAAAAATAAACGTTAAGAAGAAAATCGGACAACATCGGCATAGTCATCCCATCACTATCTGACAGCTGTCAATGTCAGACTTATTGGAAAAGCGCGCCATTTCTGACAGAATCAGTGGATCTGAGTATATAACTTAATTGCGGTAATACAATTTAAAATCTCTAAAAGGAACTGTGTCTTGTACAGACACAGTTAAAAGCTTTGAATTGATTTTTGTTTCAGCATTTCATTTCGAAATGTTCCAAATATTGTAGCCGCCAAAATAATCTATTTACCAACCCATATTTGAAGTCAACTAACTTCAAAACAGAGGAGTTTTAGAAATCGACTTGTGGACGAACAATGGTAGAGCCCGCTTTAACATCTTCGCACGAATGTGTCGGCTCGCCTCTAATACCATGACCACACAGAAAACAGACGTGAAATGGAAGCAATTCCGCGTTTTGTCTAATGAGTGTGGTGCCGGAGGCCTAATTTAAGTCACTTTCCCCTTCCACCCTTTTCTTAAGAGAGGATGGAAAGGAAAAGTGGATTTGATGGTGGAGGAGATGCATAGGAAGGGGAAATGTCCTCTTAATGTGTTCCTCCTTCGTCAATAAAGGGTAAGCAACGCATCTGCAATAATGCAATAATAATGGATGTTTATGGGCAGCGGTCGCTTTCCATTTCGGTGGATTCAGGTAACCATTTGCTCGTTTGCCTCCTTATATTATAAAATAAATAAATCAACTTACCATCTTCCGCTAGCATTTCCGCAACTTGATCTATATACTTGTGTCGTTTTTGCTTCGCATCTTCAGGACTTAGACTGATAGCATCATATGTACCTTTGTCATGTATTATACCAAATTTACCTAAAGTTTTAACATTATCATTGATTATATCAAATACCTGAAATTATACTTATATTATAAATGCAAAAGTTTAGATGGATAGATGGATGTTTGTTAGAGTTTGTGTCCTAAACTGCTGAACGGATTTCAATGAAATTTGGCATAGATGTAGAGGATAGTGTAGACGAACACATAGACAATTAACTTAGGTTTTTTAATTCTATATGGACAGAGTCGCAGGCGAAAGCTAGTGTATTATAAAAGCGAAAATTTAGATGAATGTTTGTCAGAGTTTGTAGCCTAAATGGGTGGATGGATCTGAATGAAATTTGGCCTAGATGTAGAACATAGTCTGGAAGAACACAAAGGCTACTTGTATTTTTTTTTAATTTTACGTGGACGGAGCCGTGGACAAAAGTTAGTGCGAAAATAAAGTGTACACATTAGAAAGATAAGCTATCTGCGAGTAACATAGGGTATAATTTTTATTTTCATGCAGGTCAAATTCTGAGCAACGGTTAGTTATTTATGCTTTTGACACTTTTTACCACATGTAGGATGTATCTATTTGTTATATATTTGGTGTCAAAAATACCTTGAACCTTATCATAGGGAACTGATCCTGCGCCACCTTCTCCGCGAGGGTGATCGCTTCAGTGCAGTAGTCAACTCCGAGGAGATTACTGAAACCCTCTCTCGCTAGTTCTGTTAATGTATAACCATTGCCACATCCTGGAAAATAACAGAATAAATGATAGTTGTCCAACGGAAATGTGGCTAATTATTTGACCCATAACTGTGCCCAGAAAAGAACATAGTGTTGTCATGGAACTGTTCCCTCTTCAAGCTTGTCTTCTGTGCGAGGTATTGCACCTGGCAAGCCAGACAATTTGTGCAAAGATTTTAAAGCAGGCTACCACTATTACACATCTCCAGGCTAGCATGGGTACCATGTGTTCCACTTGACCCTAAATCTATCTCGGGACCCTCAAATCGCAGCTTTGGGCGGCCACTGAGGGGATTTTTATTGAGTAGAAATCTTACATAACCATTTTTAAAAAAAGTATAGGGTGTTATTCAAAGATTTTCCCGTCATACCAAAAAAAAAGGCCAGCATGGTTGTTTATGACCTAGTCACAAAGTTAGAGAAAGCTCAAAGCCTCGAGAGTGACACAAGTAAATTAAATAAACTGAAAACTTTCTCCAAAGATTAAGTAAGGTTAGAACATAATTTATGTATTATCGAATGGAGTTTTTATAATAAATTACCTAAATCAATAACAGATGTGTCCTGTGGTATACCGCACTGGCATATCCATTTGATAACACGGTACGCGCTGTCCTCTCCAAACCAAACATCTCCGGGATCACCATGATCCTCGAAATTTATAATTTCTTTAGTATATGCCTTCTGCCAGTATGTTTGTGTACCCAGTTCTGAAGGTTCCAACTCAGTATCTTCCATGTTACCTTGTATTGATTTTGTAAGGTTTATTTTATTTATTGACTATTACGAGTTAAAATTGAAATTGACAAATGACAAGACTAATTCTCTAATGTCAAAATAATAGAGATGTGCACTTTGATACAAAAAAATACCGGTTTTTTGTTCATCTTTTGATCAGTATTTCAAATAATATTAATTTTATAACAATTGAAACATATTTTAATGCCAAAAAACCTTTAATTTATCTTTTGAAACTTTGGTCTTCTTTACTATTTGTTTTCGCTTTATAGGAAGGAAATTAATTTTTATCTTAAAAGTAAACATTTTATTAAAATTGTAACATTATTATTGGAACTACATTATGACAGATGTCAAATTGATTTCGTGTTTCGAAGAACGAAAATAGTTTTTTCATATCAGACAAGTGCTGAAGAGTGCTCGGTCGGTTATCGCGCGTATAAACTGTTCCAGTTAAATTTTTCTACCGCGACGTAGTCGCATCCAATTAACCATTTCCCAACAAAAATGACTTCAGTGATGACACGGCCTAAAATAGACGGTATTATGAATTAAAGTAACCCATTCGCCATATACATGCATATGATTGAATAAATTAATTTATGCTGTCGACGGTAGTCCAATCGATAATTGTGTCATAGTATTAAAAAAAAAAACAAAGTATAACATCTTAGTTCATATATGCGATGAAATATAGGTGCTGGAGGCTGTGATAGTGAAAATTGACAATATAACGAAAATTAGTAAACATTTACGAAATAACTTGTGGGTGCGAAAACAAATATTTGAGTAACATAGTAATGTTACTGCAACTTTAAAGGTGAGTACACATTTAAAACCAATTGTAAACAACTAGTATTTTTATTGTTATATAATTCTGCACTCTCATTTTTTTTACGTAAATAGAAGGCATTTCAAAATGTTTTTTCGTATACAAAAGTACAAGTTAAATAATAATAAATTCCTCAATTATGAAGGGATCTTTTAAAATAATATGCTTAGTTAAGGATTATGTACTTAGGCTAAATTACAGAAAAATGAGTTATTTACTCAAGACTACTATAAAGTTTTAGATTATAATAATACTCTGTTATCTGTACATAATAAACCTAAGTGTTAGTAAATAAAACTTGTATACACAGAGATGAGCAGATAAATGTCTGCTACAATTTTATGGTTGATTTTGCTATGAACATAGCCATGGCTTCAAGGCAGCAGTCTAACATACTTGTCTATCCTTGGAGGTCCCAAACCAGTACACTTTAATGTCTTGAGATGCCAGCATATTACAAAGACTAGTAATCTGTGGTTGCCTTGATATTGCAGATGTCTGGCCATCAATGATCTTCATGTTCCTAACACCCTTTAAACCCCTTACTTATTAAAAAAAAATAGTTTGTTTTGATTTTATTTGTTGACTGGTAGTTTTTATTTTTTCTGCATGATATTAAATCTTTATTTTATAACTAGCTGTCAATTGATGGAATAAAAAAAACAAAAGTAAGCCTGTGTGTTCTTCCAGACTATCCTCTACATCTATACCAAATAAAATCGTTCAGCCGTTTAGGCTACAAACTGTAACAAATATCCATCCATCTAAACTTTCACATTATATTAGTATAATTTGTTTAACTAACAATTGAAAATGTTAAAATTTAAATTCTTAATTTAATGAAGGTATTTGTCATTGGATAACACTATTATGTACAAGTGTTCTTCCAGACTATGCTCTACATTTGTGAAAAAATCATTGAGATCCATATAGCAGATTTGGATAATCTCAAAACTTTTTTTTTTGTAATAAAAGGGGGCAAACGAGCACGTGAAAACGTTGGTGTTCATGTGCTCGTTGCTCAGGTCGTGCTCAGGTCAATAGCGCTCATGGACATCCACAACATGAGAGGAACTACAGATGCATTGCCGGCCTTTGAGGAAATGATAGGCTGAAATGAAAATTAACATCATCATCACCAGCTCACTATACGTCCCCACCGAGGGGCTCGGAGGCTACGCTAATAAGGGGTGATTAGGCCATAGTCAACCACGCTGGCCAAGTGCGGGTTTGTTGACTTCACACATATCTTTGAATTTCTTCGCCGATATGTGCAGGCATCACGATGTGTACCTTCACCGTAAGAACGTCGGGTAAATTATGTACATATGAAAATTCGTAAAAATCGAAAATCACATTGGTACATGGCAGCGGGATTCGAACCCAAGACCTGTGGATTACAAGTCAAGTGTTCAAACCACTGAGCCACCGACGCTCATAAAATGAAATTGTCTTACTAATATTATAAATGCAATAATTTGTATGAATGGATGATTGTTACATATCTCTGTAATGACACCACAGACTTTCTGTTCTGTGACATATTCGTCATAGAACAGAAAGTCTAGAAGAACCATGGCCTACATAGAATCGTAGAAGCCTAGGAGTTACAACCATCTTACTTATATTATAAATGCATAAGTTTAGATGGATGGTTGTTTGTTCGAGTTTGTAGTCTAAACTGCTCAATGGAACTCTATGAAATTTGGCATAGATGTAGAGGATAGTATGGAAGAACACATAGGCTACTTATTTTTTAATTCTACGCCGATGCAGTCGCGAGCGAAAGCTAGTTATCTATACTCTATACTATTATGATAAAGAGGAAAGATTTGTATTTTTGTATGTATTGAAATAACTTAAAAATTCTTTCACCGTTTGAAAGGTAACTTATCTGTGAGTAACATAGGCTATGTTTTTTTTTATTATTTTTTAATTTGATGCGGACGAAGTTCCAAGCAACCGCTATTCAAACAGTGTTAGAGCCCGCTTTAACATCTTCGCACGAATGGCTCGCCCGGCGCTATACCACGACCACACAGAAAACAGGCGTGAAGTCTGATGAGTGTAGTGCTGGAGGCCTAATTTTAGTCCTTTTCCCTTTGGACCCTTTTCTTAAGAGGAAGGGATGGGAAGAAAACTGGATTTGACAGTGGAGGAAACGCATAGGAAGGGGAAATGTCCTCTTTATGTGCGTCTCCTCCTCCGTCGATCAATGGTAGGCATCGCATCTGTAATTGCGGTTGTTTATGTGCAGCGGTCGCTCCATTTTGGTGGATTCAGGTAGCCGCTTGCTCGTTTGCCACCTTATATTTAAAAAAAAATTCTTCATGTAAATAAAAATGTATATTTTGCAATAAAAGTTAATTGTATTTGCTAATTAACTAGGTCGTGAAATTACACGTACTTTTGTGCTCTAATAAAATTGCTTACATTGTCTTTGTCAGAAACTTGCTAACTTTTTTTATTATTTTTTAATATTACTATTACCTGTTAATATCTTGCTTCTTACTTATAAATCCGAAAGTTAAGATGGATGTTAGAGTGTAAACTGCTGGCATCTCGATGATTGACATGTAGAGGATAGTCTGGAACCCATAGGATACTTACTTTTTTTTTAATTCCTCCCAGACTGAGTTGTGGTCGAAATCTAGTCGCATTATAAATATTAATTCCTGTATATTTAAGTTATTGAAGTATCTTGACATTTTGGAACAATGCCAAAACTTGAAACTTTGATGATATAATGCAATTCAAACTTTAAGACCGCTCGGAATTTCCCATGAGACGCTACGAACTTGAGTTTTAATAAGCGCGGACGAGGAATACCACGGCGTTCTACCCATGCTCGCTTTGTGCTGACGTTAAGTTTGAATGTTACTATAACAGTTTTTTGCATTCTTGCGGCGGGGTGTTAACGTGCATGGCCTTCACCCGCCAAGATATTTGACTTACCATTTTGAAAGAAATGCGATCGAATAAACATTTTTGACGCATTTAAAGAAGTGTTTAAAGTTGTTTTTGTGAAAATTGGTTAAGAAATATGTTTGAACCAATAATAGACTAGTATTATTTAACACTAACAGTTGCTCGCGACTTCACCCGAATGGATTTATAAAAACTATTTTATTATTTACATTTGTCTGATTCACAATTTCAAATATCAAATTTCGAACGTACTAATGACAACGACCGCGCCTATGGCAATTTTTGTTGATATTGGCAGCTTGTACTGTATGGTCTTTTTCCCACATCAAGGTTTTTTCCAATTTATATACCCCCTAAGTTTAATAACGTGAAAATATATAGCCTAAAGCGTGACGGAAGTGTAGGGCCTTTTATTAAAGTAAGAATTATTCAAAAATATGCTGTAATTGGCGAGATCCTACGACACAAAATAGTGTGTGTTTACGCTTTATTATATTGGTATAGAAGTATAGGATCGAAGGTATGAAACTGGACCGTCGTATACGATCTTGTTGACATACTGTGTGAACGCATTGTCAGTAAATTGTACGTTTTATTTACAAGGTGGCAAACAAGCAAGAGGCCATCTGAATTCGCCAAGAAAGCAAAGCCTGCCTATACATCCGAAATTGCAGATGCGTTATCTACCCTTAATCAACGGAGAAGACGCACCTAAAGAGATTAATTCCCCTTATGCGTCTTGCAACGTCAAATCCACTTTTCCTTCCCGTATAAAAAATGATGTGAAAGGAAAGGGATTAAATTATGCCTCTGGCACCACACTCTTTAAACTGTACACGGAATTACTTCCACTTCACGTCTGTCGTGTGTGTTACTGGTTTTACACCGGGCGAACCCTACAGTGCGAAGATGTTAAAGCGGGCTCTACCACTGTTAGGCCACGTTCTCCTTGTTCATGCGATTCATTACTATCGCAAGATATTGTCAAATTATAACAATGTCCAAATTAATTTCTTAACCGTAAATGTTATCATTACAAAACAATTATGTTAAGTCACACAAAAGAACAATGTCTGTTTGTTCAAGTGTACGGACGCATTTCCAAACTAATTTCATAATTATATGTATGTTTTTGTTGATGTCATCGGATGATTGGAATACGTTGGTTTAGAGTACAATCGGGGAAAGTGTCGGTGTTACTCTAACGGTACAATCGTTCGAATATTTAAAAACGAGACCCAACAAAGACCTGAATCCACCGAAATGGAAAGCGACTGTTGCCCATAAACATCCGCAATTGCAGATGCGTTGCCTACCCTTAACTGACGGAAGAGGAGACGCACTTAAAGAGGACATTTCTTCTTCCTATGGAGGAGACGTCTACCGTCAAATCCACTTTTCCTTACCATCCTCTCCTCTAAAGAAAAGGTTGGAAAGGGAAAGGGACTAAAATTAGGCCTCCGGCACACTCATCAGACTGCACTTTATTGCTTCCACTTCACGCCTGTTTTGTGCGTGGTCATGGTATTATACCAGGCGAGCCGGCCTTACAGTGCGAAGATGTTAAAGCGGGCTCTACCACTGTTAATTTTTTGTTTCTTACTGTGAACTGTCTATCGCGGTTTTTATGAATCAGCTATGGAAAACTAAACCAGAACAATAGTCTAGCCTTGCGATTCAGTATTCGAGGTCGATTAAAAGAGAATCTATTGATTGTTCACGGAACATCAGTTATATTAAAAAATGCGTTTCAAGTCATCGTGTTTTTTAAGAACTAGCGGTAGCTCGCGACTTCGCCCGTGTAATATTATAGCCTATGTTACTCATAGATAGATTACCTTTTTAACGGTGAAAGAATTTTTAAAATCGACCCAGTAGTTTTTGAGTTTTTTATATACATAAAATACAAATCTTTCCTCTTTATATTAGTATAGGCTAGGTTATGCTCACGACTGTGCGGGATACAAAAACTGAGTTTCATGTTTTCTTCCAGACTTGTGATATAGTAATAACATCCATCTATCCAATTATTCCCATTTATAAATACTAATATTATAAAGAGGAAAGATTTGTATTTTTGTATGTATTGAAATAACTCATAAACTACTGGACCTGGACTACTGGACCTACTGGAGTTCATCATTAAAAAGCTACGTTATCATTGAGTAACATAGGCTATATTTTTTATTATCATAGTTTCACGAGTACGAAGTCGCGTGTAATAGCTAGTGTTAGATAATAGGTATGGTATTGAATCAAATACATTTGTAGTTTGTTCTCTATTTTTGCGTGAGTTAGCGTTTGAAAAAAATAACGAAATTGATCAATTTGTGCTCATTCCATTTTATAGCAATTTACAGTCAATGTCAGTTGCATAAATAAGAGTATCCACAATCTGACTAAACTATCGCACAACTGTTCAGTCTCGCTTTGATTCGTAGCTTACTAGCTGTTCCCGTGCAGCGTCATCCGCATGAAATTATGAACATCTTATTTTATTGTTTACATTTGTCAAATTATCAATTACAAAGGTCAAAATGACATGACATGATGACAACCTTGCGTCCTTGATGTTGGCAGCAACTTATATCTTTCCCACATTAGGGTTTTTATCCAAAATATTTACCACCTAAGTTTAATGGTGTTAAAATATATAGGCTAAAGCGTGACGCAAGAGTGGGGATTTTTATTAAAAAAAGAATTAATAAAGAAATGCTGTAATTACTGACATCTTATACAACAAAGAAGTGTGTGTTTACGCTTTATTATAATAGTATAGATATGGAGGTACACTACTCGATTTGTAATTATTCAACTAAACAGTTAAACTGGCTACAAAACAATCATCACCAGCTCACTATACATCCCCACTGAGGGGGTAGCCTACCCTAAGGGTGACTAGGCCATAGTCAAGCACGCTGCACTGCGGGTTGACTTCATCTTTGAATTTCTTTGCCGATAAACATGACGATGTTTTCCTTAGCCGTAAGAATGTGGGGTAAATTATTTACATACGAGCTGTTGCCCGCGACTTCGTCCGCGTTGTATTAGAAAACATACGAACTATATAAATTCCAAAAAGCTGCGTATCCCTCGGGAACCGGACATTTCTCTGGGATGAAGCTTATCCCATGTGTACTCCAGACTTTGTTTTACATCTGTGCCAAATTTCAATAAGATATGTTGAACCGTTGCAGAATGATCGAGTGAACATTAAAAAACTAAATTAATGAATCCCACGGGAACCGTAACTTATCCCGGGAAAAAAGTAGCCTATGTGTTCTTCCAGACTATGCTCTAAACCTGTGGCAAATTTCATGGAGATCCGTTTAGCCGTTTTGGCTACAAACGCTAACAAACATCCATCCATCCATCTAACTAAACTTTCGCATTTATAAAATTAGTAAGATAGAATTCAAAATCGAAAATCAACAGGATTCGAACCCAGGACCTGTGGATTACAAGTCAAGTGCTCAAACCCCTGAGCGTTTGACGAGAATCGACAATCGCACGACAGTTGTGCGACAGTTTAGTCAAAGGTGTGTGGAACTTTTATATTACGTAACAATCATAGACATACAAGGATAATGGCAGTTGGCAATTTGAACTAACAATTAAATAAAGAGTCACGTTTTGACCAATCAGAGAGCAGCTTGGAATGTCGACATTTTTAAAATTTTGAAATTCGAAATTCGAATTCAAAAAAATTAACGTATAGTTTATTTTTTTTTTAATAAGAGAATTTTGAAAGAAGTTAGTTTTTTGCCTACCCTTCAATGTTAAAAAAATATGAGATAATTGTAGATCTATAGAAATTAAATTTAGAAATTACGTAATCTACCCACATGATGCACATATTAGCATAGATATATCAAACGTAAATATCAAGGACTTTGTGAACTAGTTCTCTAGTATACATATAGTGATTATTCCCGTGTGGTTTTTTTTATAATATAAGGTGACAAACGAGCAAGCGACCGCTACCCATAGACATCCGCAATTGGTGATGCGTTGTCTACCCTTAGTTGACGGAGGAGGAGATGCACATAAAGACGATATTTCCCCTTCCTATGCGTCTCCGCCGTCAAATCCACTTTCCCTTCCCATCCTTTACTTATAAAAATGGGTGGTAAGAGAAAGGGACTTTAATTAGGCCTCCGGCACCACTCTCATCAGACGAAACGTGGATTTGCTTCCACTTCACGCCTGTTTTAAAGAAGAAGATATGTGTGAAATCAAACTATAGCCTCATGTTGCGCCTCAAGCCTCAGTAGTGATGTACTTAGTGTAGGCTCCAAGCATTGGTGGCGACGTATTGAGCTAGTGATGTGTAAATCTAAACCGGATCAGATCAGCTATAGGCTTGAAGCGTTGATATGCCGCTCAATAGATCGGCGTGGTTATATAATACTAGCTGTTTACGACTTTGTCGCGTTAAAATAAAAAATAAAATATAGCATATGTCAGTCACAGATAAACTACCTAATGGTGGAAGAATTTTTCAAATCGGCTCAGTAGTTTTTACGTGAATCAACAAACCTTTCCTCTTTAAGTCTATGTGTACTTCCAGAGTATCCTCTAAGACTTTATCGAGATAACTGATCTCGATGATGTCAGCAGTTTAGGATATAAATTCTAACAAACATCCATCTAAACTTTCGCATTTATTATAGTAAGATGTGATTTGAGCTGCAACTCGTAGACCACACTTCACGCAAATCATAACATAAATACGAACTGAGCGAATCATTCAGATCTCTCATCAGTTCTTTTTCATTTGACTTGCCCACGTTTAGTTCGCCTACGTATTTGATTTGGTGTTGTAATTCAATATCGATACTTCGATAATTTCCGTTACCGCGGTTTCATAGATATGTAAACTATGCAAAAATACGTACATTGTTACACAGACTGGTACAGTCTAGGACAGTGGTGGGGAATATTTATGTATCTAAGTTAGATTGCCAAGTACCATCCTCACTATCTCGATGGCATCCCACAACCTTGCGTTCGCGGAACTTACTGCCTCGCACAGCCGCGTTGTGGAACTGTCTGTCCTTCTTCTTCTTCTTCTTCTTCTAATACCTCTCCATTACTGGAGGTTGGCCGTCAGCTCAGCGAATCTCACCCTGTCCTGTGCCAAGCGAAAAAGTTGTTCGTCGCTGGCGATACTTGTCCACTCCCGGATGTTTCATAGCTAAGATTTCCTTTTCCTTCCAACGCGTCTTCTGCCTGCGACTTTGCCCATCATCAGTTGGAGAAGCTCATATCTTTCATGTCGCAAAACATACCCAAAACATGTCTGTCTTTGGTATTTCCAAACTAATACGACTTAGGGTCCTTGAAGAAGCGAGCTTATCATTTCATTAAAGGTCGGCAACGCACCTGTGCTTCCGAT